TCTCGATAGGATCACAAAGAAATCGAAAGCGGAGCCCGCGAAGCTGAGGAAAAAAGAAAAGGAATACGCCTTGTCGCGATTAATTGAAGCCGATTACGGGAATTTCATTCGCAATCTGTTTAACATTGTCGAAGAAAAATGTCGTGTTCTTCTGAAAAGTGCAGACAGACTGGGGCGGGCGGGGGAGAAGCACGCGCGATACGGAGCACGTGTAGACCGAGAGTCACTGATTGCGAGAGACACGCAACAATCGCCGCAATTGACCGCGTAATAGAAACGCGTTATGCAGGCCACGGCAGGGGCCGGTAGAATACCGGTCGACCTTGAGAATGAACATGATTCCTTAACGTGCGTTTTCCCTTTTACGGAAGGGTTCCGCGTTCGCGTAATTGCCGCGTTACGGTCGATCTTTTGCAAAATTCGCGCCCAACAGAAAAGGCGGACACACCGAGCGCCGGTCAGTCTGCCGATCTTCGTGCCGTTTGTCCGGCAAATCGCAGCTCGTTAAACGCGCGTACAATATATCGTTTAGATTAGAATTTGCGATAATCGCTCTTACACGATACTTGAGAATAATCGAATTAATTGAGACATTTACAACCGGATCGACACGCTCTTCTTCGGTCGCGTTCTTCTTCGTGCGCGACCCGAATTCAAGATGACACATTTCGATCACCAAATATCTCTCGCTCGTTCTCGGGAACCTCGAATTGTAACACGGCACGAATACAAAATGCATCGCCGCGAAATCGGCATTAATGCGGAAAAATTCGCTCGTGTGATTCGATTCGGGCCGAGTAAGGCAGCGTGAGATCGATCGACGAATCGACTTTGGGAACGAGCAGAGCTCAGGGCGAGGCCACGTGAGACGCGGCGGGATCCGTCGGGATTAGATAGTTTAAATTTTTTTATGGTAAACAGATGAAAGTCCATACCGTAGTTGGGCCGTGCGACAACAACAACAAGCGGGGTGTATGCAAAGCAAATGCAAATGCGCCCGATCTGCATAATTTGTCGGGAGATTTCTCTTTGTTTTGCATGGTTTTGTCTCGGAACCAGCCACTCGGCTTACGCGATACCGATCGAAGTGTCGTTATTTATTACCGGAGCTGCTGAACTCTGATATCTGGTATCCCTCTCTGATAAAGGGAACGAGAGGGATGCGAAAAGTCTGAAAATGCGCATTAAATTTCTGGTGGAACGAAAACTCGACGATTCAGCATCGAGTTTCTCTTTCACAGGGTGTTCGCGGAATTTTGAGACGCACGCGGTGCATTCGGTCCGACCGTAGCAAAATATGTCGAGACGCTTGCAAACAAAAAGCAGAATTTCCCAACAATATCTCGGAGTAGAGGTGCTCAGACAGGTAGAAACATGCAGACACGACGATTCATCAAACCCCAAGGGTCGCGCCAAAGGGCGAAGAATGCTCTTTCTGTAGACAAAAATGACGTCGTCGTCCAGAAAACAGGTCTGCGAGGAAAACCTCCCTCCGCGTATCTCGACAGGATCCAGTGAAAAATTGCTGAGTCAAGCGAATATCAACTAACAATAACATAACATCAATGTTATAATTTCCCGCTCAACAATGTAAATGCAATGTAACGTGCGTTAATTATGTAATAATTACATCGTCGAGTGGAAAATTATAAAATTGATGTTATATTACTGTTAGTTGGTGTTTGTTGGAATTGAGCGTGCGTGAAACTCCAATACTTGCGCGATACACGAATCGGGCACGTGGAACGTTGTGCTGTATTGTGGGAGCAGTCTGAACGATTCGTCGAGCAATTACGGAGTAGTTGGCGACGAGTTGAAGCGACGCGATTAAACGGGACGTCGGGCGAACCACGCGTGTATGCGCGCTCGCGTAGATCGCGCCCGGACGATACGTTATCGGCGCGCATAAATAATCATCAAATCGAAAACCATTTGAGAAACCGGCCGGTGATTTATCGGCGTGCCCACGTATCGTGGTCTTCGCGCATAATTTTCCGGTGAATTGTAGGGTAGCTTAATTGACACGTCACCTCTTCCCGTTGCTCCGCACAGAGAGCCATTCGTCTTGCCTTCGATCCACGCGTCGACCTTAAATCAATTCCGGGTACGGACAAATTACCAAAAGGGATTAATGGCTTCAACACCGGCCCTAATTGGTCCCAAATCACGCGGAGGAGCAGCCTCGCCCAATCGATGCCTCGCCCTTCCGACAACGACGCGAACCACAGCGGGAGATATACACCCTCGCTCGATTTTATCTCCTCGGTAAAGTCAATTCTACTCCTACGTGATATTAATGAACATCCTTTTTCGACGATTACTCGCGTGATCCTCGGGTCTGTCCGTGGCGAGCGCGCGCGAGTGTACGCGTGCGAATAACCTTTGGATACTTTTAAATAACGCCGCGCGCGCGCCTTGGTGGGTGGATGAATGAATGGGACTACCCACACGCTGACAATGAAATGCGTTTGCTAATCTAACGCTATTCCACTAACTCATCCGCGCCTATAATAAGGATTACGAAACCTCGGCTGGTTCGTGCGCGTGGAGACTTGCCTCGGTAACTCGAGACCATGGTGCGTGATGTCAAGGAAATTCGAGGGATACGGGTAGATTCGCTTTGTAACGTAATAATCATTAGGAATCGCCGGACAGGTCGCGTCTGTAAAAAGGACGTAACTCGTTAGCGACGTTTGAAAGGAGAGACATCCAAGGAACCCGCGCGTTAATCTATTTAGTAGCACAATAGAAGACGTCGTTCGTTTGTCGGGATTAAAAGTCCCGTATCCGCGCTCGACGCGTTTTAACAGAGCAATTTAACGTAGAATTTGAGTGACGAAGCGGAAGCAGCCAGAAATGAGAAATGATAGAGAAGAGAGAGGGAGAGACAAAAATGTGTGGAGCGTAGGGAAGTCGTTCATTTGAATTCAAGACAATGAAACCTTCTGTCAATGGTCGAATTTACGACGGGTCCAGCGTCGCTATTCATTCTTGTAGGTACATAAACAAAGAGCGGACTATGCAGGGCGTTATTTCAGGTCCACGGTTCAGGGCGACATTTATGCGGAGAACAAGAGATGAGGTACTGCAAACAAAGAAACGACAAATACACGTGGGTGCGAGACGTTTCCTCCTGGAAAGCCATATAAACTCATTGTTGCCTCTTTCCGCAACGCTCATTAGCTGCCTCGATGTCGGGACGCAGGAAGGAGACAAATTAATTAAGAGTTGGGAAAAATTGCTAAACGAAAATCCGAATGTGTGTCCAAAATCGTGCGAATCTTTTCCTTATTCCTAAGGTTTTAAAATATTAGTACATGGCAAAGCTTCTGGGAAGTATGCCCAAGTAAGTGTTAAAAGCTGCATATGTAATTCCTAACCCTTTAGCCCGCCGCTTTGCATATATGCAAAATAATATATTGATGATCGATCTCCTATCCCCGTTGAATTTCGAAGTTTCGACATGCGGATTTGCACATCTGTAAAGCACGTCGTTCAAATGTACTACTTGGCGCTTTTACCGCCATTGCTTAATATTTCAGTTTTTTTTATGGTCGCGCGAGCGTGAGGTTGAATTGGTAACGTGTCGGTGGTGTTTTTGTATTAATAAGAAAAGCAATAACGATTGATTATAAACATTCTGTTATTTCGACAATTCGACTAACGTTGCTCCACGTTATTAAAAAACAATATTTTTTCCATACACGTCTTTTTTCCGCGTTATTCGATATAACGGAGAAACCGCGGAGGCTCGCGAGCGAGACTTTTGCGTGTAATTAGCGACGGGATAAAAAGAACGGAGCGTTTGTCGGGAGAATTAATGTTCTCACGCACAGTCAATTTATTCCACCTTGCCCGGATTCATTCCATATGCATGGAAAGTTAAGAGTACGCCGGGCTTTACATACATGCGCTCGCTCTAATGCAGTAATCGAGTTAACAGCGCGAGCTAACGTCACCACGTGTGAAGCGGGAGACATAACCGGTGAAAACCTGTATGTAGATTTATTCTTTCCTCGCGGAGATCCATAATTAATACGTTTCCAGATCGAGCGGGGCCACTGCACAGCGAGGAAACGCGTGCGACGGCTGAATCGTCCGGTAAAAGTGCGCACGGATCGTACGGTCGCGAATCGATAATAAAAACAGCCGTAGGCGGATTGACACGATCGGACGAATTAATTCGATCTCTCGGCCGGACCGAACGTGCGCGCGAACGCACACCGAATATAAATCAATCGATCGTTTTCGACGGTGTTACAGGCGCGCGCGCGAAGAGAGAATTGTTTTTCTTCTCTTTTACTTAACCACCGCCGGCCTTTAATTTTCTGCGAGCAAACCTATCCTTTTAATTAACACGGGCTAACCGTAACCGGCCGCGATTACGCGTGGGTTTATGAATTATGCAGGATCACGATCGCGGGATGACGCGTCTGAAATCGCGATAACGTAATTACGATAAAGCGCGACTCGCGCGTAACAATGTAGAAAATTCGCTGATTGTCGGACCGGCGCGATGCGCACTCGCGCCGAGCACCGCCGTACTCGCCGCTATGATATTAAGCTGTCACACGGAAGGCGATAATGCGGACGACTTATCGCGCTCGCGCAAAGCCGAGTGTGCTTCGCGGTGCTACGTGGGCGTGTTTGTGATTTACACCAGCGCGGTTTGTTTCTCATATAATGCCCTCGCGCGAAATCAATCACCCGGCGATTAATCCGCGAGATTCGCTAATTATCGCACCAGCTGCGCCGCTCTTGGCCAGCTGTAAATCTTGTTTCGCAAGCAGTATGAATGGACGGCTCGAAGGTAGAAAAGAAAGGACGATAAAAAGGGAGGGGGGATAAAGACGGAGCATTTATTCACGTTCGCGTGTCCGCGGGCCCTGTGTGATTTTTTCTCGAAAGCCGTAACGCGAAAATAAATTCACGTTAAGAGAGACGTTACGGAATTTCCACCATTCATCAGCGGCGAGACTCGCGAGTTTGTCCCGCGTCATCTACGACATCACCGACGCAGTCTTCTCGCCGCGGTACGCAGGGCCGTGCCGCTGAATCTCTTGCTTGATTATCTCAATGTCGTTCCTCAGGGCGTCCATCGACTTCATCGTTCTCTCCGTCTCGCGCAGCACCGGCCTGGGTCGACGAACCACGGCTTGACATTGACCGAAATCGCTAACGCACGTAAGCAACAGATCTTACTGAGCCATCAGCAGCCCGGCGTCGCGCCGCTTCTCGTCGCGGGCTCGTCGTAAATCTCTCAGAATTAAATAGAGCTCGTTGACGTCCTCTCGAATCCTGACCGTCCGCTCGTGATACTCGTTCAATTCGTGTATCTCGCACCCGATGTTCCCCGCGAGGCACTGCTCTTTCTCCTTGTAGTGGGCGATTTCGTTAACCACCTCGGCGATTCTAATTTCGATTTGCCAACAAGCACTTAATAAAGTTCCCCCGCTCGAGCAGATACATCGGTAGTAATACATTCGTAATGCCCTGAGTCAAAAGATCTCTCTCTCTCTCTCTCACGCCGAAGCCGCGACACTCGTAGATATCTCCCTCCAGATAGTCCTACGCGATATCCCATAAAGTATCGCGTGCCAGAACGTGAAACTCGCGGCGCCGAAGCAAAGATGTTTTATCGAGGGCTTTCGAAATGAGATTCGAATGAGAACGCTTCGGGAGAACGATTCTCAGATACAATCAATTACATTAATACACCGATCGGAAGCGCAGGCAGAGGGCTGCCGCTCGGCTCGCGAGCCACTACCTTTGCCGCAACTTCTCCACTTCCCTTTCGCGTTCCTCCAACTTATCCTTGTAGCTCAAATGAGCTATATGCCGAGCCTCGTAATCCATAGTGGTCATTCCCTCGCCGAGCGTTTCTAGACTTCTCAGTCGCGTATTTATCTCCTCGAGACGCTGCTGCAGCATCGTACACTCGTAACGATCGCGGCCGAGGGACTCGCGTCGCGATACCTGGCGAATGAAGAAGTCCTCACGTGAGCATCTCCCTACACGAACGTGCGGCTCTTTAATTGGTACGTCGCATAATTGCTGTAATAGACAAGTGATGATTCACGGTCATTAAGTTACACCTGCCGACGGGTTATCGTGTCGACAGTCTTCTCCGTGAGCTTTCGTCCGGTCTTGGCGTAAACGAGACCGGTCGCCACTTCCCTCTCGCGGTCCAGGAGTTCGTCGAACATTCGCGCGCTCTCGTCGCCCGTCGCCCGCACTTCGTCTTCGTAACTCCGCGTGTCGGCGGCCGCGCGCTCCTTCCGCTCGTTCACGTCGTCCAGCCGCAGCTTATACGCGAGCAATGTTTGCCTATAAATCTGCTCCATTTGCTCGGGCTCCTTTGTCGCATACGTAGGTGTCACTTTCTCCTGCGTCTGCATGCATACAAACGCCACGTACGTGCGTACGGCGGGCTTTTATCAGCGGATATCACCGCGTTGCGCGCACGTGTATCCACTTAATTGCAACGCGACGCCGGCAGCGATAGAGAATGTAAATTCGTTCGGCGAATTAGAAAATGTTTGCCGAAATGACGCAGTTGTTCTCTCACGAGCACTCGACCTTTTTCATGTCCCGGATAATCCGCAACTCGAGAAGCCTGTTTCTCTTTTGCAATTCAACCCGCTCGGCTATGAGTTCCCGCAGCTTTTTCGTCATCGCCTCGCGACTGGCAAAGGTCTGCATTGGCAATATCAAGTTAAATCAACCCGAGTCGAAATTTCAGCTCTACGTTAAGTCTTCAAGCGGAGAGAAAGAGAGTAGAGTAGATGACCTTTGAAGATGTAAAAACTTACTGTAAAATTGAAATTTCGAGTGCAAAGATATTTAACTCGTCGGGATTTTTCTTTCTTTAATGGTCATGGTGCTTGTTACAACCGCCATCGTTGCATTTCGATGAAAACACGTTGGAATTCACGGAAAGCCTTTTATTACCATTTCAATCGATCACAATAACGACGGAATGTGTATACAATGCGGAAACATGTTGTGCGGAGGCGCGTAATGAGAGAGGAGGCTCGAGTCCTTAGGATATTACGAAGGTCGTGAGGCACAGTAATTCCGCGGGTAGAATGATGGTGAATGACAAGTTTATGCGAACCTCGGCTGGTATCTCGGCGAGCACGTGATCAGGCCCCGCTACGTCTCGCACTTCCTCCTCGGACTTTTCCGCCGCGGTGATTGTCGCAGAAGACGGCGCGCTCTTTCCCTCTTCCATTTCCTCGTCCTCCATACTCCGTTCCCCGTACATCCGCCCCTCGTATCCTTCATATTCCCCCAACTCTTGGCCCCAGATAGAAGACTCGACCCTTTCATCGACGTCACTCGCGATCTCTTTTTCCTCCTCGTATTCCTCTTGAAATTCTTCGTTCTCCGGTGAAAAATTTTCATGATTTCCCGCATTCTCGCTCGCGTCTAACCTTCTCCCGTTGTCCTGTAGAAAAAGTTCGCGCGTTACTGAAGTATCTCGCGATGGGTCAGCGCAAATAGTTACTCCATCGGCGATCCCGTCTACATCGTTCTCGGTCGTTTGCTCCGTCATATCGAGACTTGGCTTAAATCGATAAATGTAAGCAGTCGCGCCCCGGGACGCGGAGTGCCACGGGAGAATCGGGGCTGGATAACAGCTGCCAGACGATGAAAACAGTCGAACGAATTCACGGCGCGGCGCTGGATCGACGTCTTCGCGAGAAGGCCTCGAGCCGCATGCGGTCGACCTTGAAGATCGAAGATGATCTTTTCTCTCGTGTATGCGCGCCGCGCACGCTGCCGCGTTGGTTTAACTGCGCTCCTCGGGACGCTGGTAGGAAAAGTTCCTCGCAGGACGTCGATTAAACTGCTGCGAGCTACCGGACACCGTCGGTGCGGATGCACAGTGCATCCTGCGGTGCGCAGGGTATGATTTCATCTCCGTGTGCTTTATTCTGCGCTGAGCTACTCTCCCCGCTGATGTATGAAAAGTTTATTTATGGGGGACGTGCCTCGTTCGATCACGCGAGGGCCCCATGATGGCAGTAACATAGTGAGTTGAAACCCGAGTATCTTTCGTTCGCCGGACGTTAAAGCGAGGGGAATTAACAACGACACGGTACGTATGTAATTCGTCAGGAATGGAAGGGGGATGATGATGCAGCGTGCCGTCGTCTCGCTATCGCGTTTCTTTTCGCTCGCTGTAGGAAAGTGCGTTTCTCCTTCCTTTTCTTCCCTTTTCTTCATCGGCGCGCAGAGAGAGAGAGAGAGCACGAACGTATATAATTCACCAGTGGAGTGCAAACATTCGATGCAAATCGTTCCCGATTCTTATCCTCGTCTTCGTGTAAGTGTCGACGAAGGTGATGTTACAGAATGACGGGGACGCGCGAAGACCCCGTCGTGCACCGTCGATAGCGCCTCGCTCTTTATGCGTGGTCCTACCGGGATTAGATGCCATGAAAACAAAGAAAGAAGTACGGACAATGTGAGGAGGACGGAGGGGAAGGAGAGACGGACGAAGAGAGGTACTTGAGGCAGCGTGGGCAGCCGCTGGCGCTGCATTCCTGTAGGATCAAGGATCCCTGCTCGCCGCATGTATGTGCATACACGGACACACGCGCGCGTGTGGGAAGCTTTGAATTGCAACACGGACGTGTATTCGCAAACACACGCGCGCACGAACGCACTACTGTTCGCGAACGCGTCGCTCAAAAACACGAACGCGTAATGGTAGCGTTCGCACCCTGGTTGTCGGTACATATCACGTTTGCATTTTTTTCTCCTTTTCTTCACGACTTTGATCGCGCAGAGAACGAAGGGCCGCAGCTTTCTTTCCTCTCGTGTGTGCCGTACAAGTGCGATAAGTCGGCTGATAAGATTTCGGAGCGAAACGAGAAACAATGTTTATCGCTGCGCTACGAACGATTCGCGCACGATCGAAACGCGCGTCAAACTTCCACTTCCCGTTCCGGAGAAAATGGGAGTACGGATGATCAATTTGTAGAGATACTCTCTTTTAGGCCACAACGTATCGCCATACATGCCTGTGTGCGTACCTATGTCACAAATTGCGTAGGGAAGGACATTCGTTCATCATGGTCGCGCCAAGTAAGGGAATCGAGATAGCGTAAGAAAGCAGTTTATGCGGCGTGACGACTGACAAGCCGAAGACAGACGTGCCACGCGGAAGAGCCACGGGAAGACACGTTGTTCGCGCGAATGTTGCAGGAATGTACGCGGCTAAAGCCGCGGTCTGTGTTTTTCCATTTGGGTTTACGTGCTTATGGCATATATATAT